GCGAGTGCAGAAACCACAGGTAAGAGGAAAAATGTAGAAACTTTACAATAAATCAGCTATCAAACAGGCTAATCATATTCATCAACTTTATGCCAGTCACTATACTCAGCATCCGAATCTTTATCACGAGAAAATGACTGCCTTGCCTTAGGTGGACCACCCTGAGTGTCAGAACCTTCATTCAGTTGGATCCAATCACTGGATCCACTGGGTGAAGGAGCCCTAATGCTCCGTGCCTTCCTAGAAGCTGATAATCTTATTGAAAAATCACTATCATCATCCTCTAGATCACTGAATGACACATCCTGTTCATCTTCAAGCTTTTTCTGGTTATCCATTGAAGTGCTATTGTCAATTTTCTCTTTTGAAAACTGTCTAGAATTCTGTTCATTAATTTTTAAGCCTTCAGTAGCGTCCGCAATCTCAGTGATCTCATCTTGAGATGTTGTGATCTCTCCTAGTGTACCACTCTTCAAATACTTGGAGCTTTCCACCTTAACATTCCTCTTGTTTTGCAGCTTCTGTAAAAGTAAATTTCTTGTTTCAACAATCTGCAACAAGCCGACAGTTGATGTGAGATTACATGGTAAGAAGAATGAAATACAAATGTCACTGCAAACAAAGGTCTGCTGCATCCTGCTCTAAACTGCGATCATTACTGGGATAATAAAGTTTTAGTATATCAAGTGACAAAAAGGTAAGAAATGAGTCTCAAGTTTCATGCAGGACATGTTATCACATGAAAAAACCAAGCAATAGTCCGTTAATTCCCAATTAAGAGATATTTGAAGATTCCGTCTCCAAAATTTCCTTTGAAAAATCAATAAAAACTGAATCAACAGTCCTTATCACTTGAAACATATAACTACCACTGCACAATAGGTCACTTAGGATTAACAAGATCATTTTTCCAATATCTCAGATGTCTTAAACCTCAGAACTTCAAACCAAATTCAGATGAAACACTTTGCTCTACTGTCAAATTATATTACATCAATTTCATCGAAAAGTGCAGCGATGGTTTGCTGATTTGTTTTCGAGAAGGGAAAAATTAAGTGTACATATATTACTAAAATTTGAAGACCTTACACTTTTGTATTCCCAGGGGTGAGTTTTGATGTATAAAAGAGCATGATTACCAGTTAGTCACAGCCACGTTTCATTCTGCATATTCGCAGAACTGTTAAAAAATAACCATCCCTTTCCCACCCCTCATCCAAGATGAGAACTAAAAAGCATGCAAGTGCCATCATCCTCACATCTTTCAGTTCCGGTTTTCAATGTCAAGATTGAAGAGGATAATAATTCCTCAAGCACCTAGATGAGTAGATTGAATGCTACAATTTTGAATGCAACTTTACTAGAACATAAAAGAAAATCCAAGTAAGAAAAGACAGCTCACAGCAAGTTATAACAGATTATGATCCCATCAAATGACAAAACTGAGTCACCTTCTCAAAACTTTTTAACAGCAAGGAGATCAATTTTTTACACACAAAATATCAGAAACCAATTAACCTCCAAAGTAATGGCATGTAAATTGCAGCTATGCAAAATGTTTTACTAACTGGTATATTATTTGCTTAAGCTTGCTAGATGCCTACCACTAGAAGATCAACCAAAGCCTCCCCTTCCCTGAGACATGTCACATTGCCAGTAAATTTAAGGGATGAGATTAATAATGCAACAAAAAATAGCAGTGTATACTACCCCTTCGACCTCTGCTCAACAACAAGTACAGAAGTAACAGACACCAATTCTGGTTTCACCAGCACTGTGGCTCGAAATAATTGCACTTCAAAATGGTGCACAATGTGTTATCTACTAATACAATATCTACCTATGCTCACCAGAAGCTTTAACATACACTCAGACCATGCTCGGTTGAGAAAAACCATAAAGCAGCAAAACTAGTATCACAAAGAACCCTTTGGCTAGAACAAAAATAATAACAAAACCCTCATTATAATTTCACTACTATTGCAACTAAATTGACCTGAAAAATACACTTTTTTTATTGTTTCAAGGACTTAATGCCACAGGAAAAACGAACTTGTACATAAAATGAACAAAACATATATCATATCAACATAGAAATGTTACCTGGGGAGTCGATAGAACCTCAAAATCATGTTCATTCAATCTTGGAATCAACAATATAAAATAAACCATCCAAAATCGGCCATCCCCCATTTCACTCCGAAGATTATTTCTAAGTTGTGCCAAACTAGGAACAAAATGTTCAATATTCAACACATGTTCTCTTTGAGCATCAGTCATTATAAAATCTGCAAGATACAAAAAATCCTAATTCATCTTCACCCAAAATTAAAGTATCCTTCACATATAATAAACGATTTTCGCAATTCAAAATCCTGCAATTCGTATAAAATCTATAATAAATGCATCAAATTTTACGCAAATTCAAAAGGGCAAGATTCCTATAAAATATTAAAATCTATAATAAATACATCATTTTTTTTTCCTTTCATGTACAATTTTGTTTACTTCGTAATTAAAAAATAATAACAAATATTCACTACTGTTTTTTTATAAAAAAAACAAGGAAATAAATTACCGTTTTGGAGTGGTAAAGGAAAATCAATCCAGCATTCAGGTCTCAAAGAAATCTCCTTAACAAATCCAATCACTTCCTCATTAATCCCCGCCACGTCGTCACCGTCACTGTTCTTACTGTTAATATCTTTAAATTGCAAGAAATTGGAAGTGAATTTAGAGAGACCAGATTTTAAACTGTCACCGATTTCAGCGAGATCGTTGCGAATCCCAAGGAGAGCTTGTGATGATTGAGAAGAAGAATCGAACGGTTGTGGTTTCGCTGCTTGGGTATTGGACGGCGGTGGAGGTGGAGGCGGAGCAAGGAAGTTAGCAACGCCACGTAATTGACGGCCGATAGAATCACTGATGACCAACAAGTCGTCTTGAACTGACGGAGAAGGAGGGTGCGGTGGTGGTGAATCCGGATCGTTGGATTGCAGCGAATTGAAAAGCCAAGACATGATCTTTTTGTTTTTGTTTTTGTTTTTTGTTTTTTTTTTTTAATGTTGTTAGAGACAGAGCATTTGAGTTGAAGGGTGAAGCTGTCTTGATGAGTTGGTGGTTCTTTCTAGTAGTTTTGCTTTCGCTATCTGATTTCGTGATTAGTATTCATTGGGTAATGATTACAAGATTTTTACCTGGAGTTAAGAGTTGTGGAATTAATTAATCACTAATCTTAATTAAATTGGACTTAACTGACTCATTTTTCAATCTATCATGGCTCTTTTTATTAATTATTTTTTGACTCTTTGAAATCGTGTGGTTTAGAATTGATTGGACGGTGGATTAACTTGTTATTTAATAATAATAATTAATTCATTTAAAAAAACACTCATAACATATCATTTTAATTGTAATGCATTTTCTTATAAAAAAATTATTAATATAAATTAATCCAAATAAATATATAAAATCTATAATTATACCTGACACCAAATCATATAATAACTACGATTAGAAGAAAGATTATAAAAATTTATTGTCATTTTTAATGAATAATTTTAAGTATGGATGGTTGATTTAAGATTTAGAAAGTAAAAAAACTTAATTTTAAGGTAAAGAAGCATCATATTATAAGAATCTTAAATTTCTTCTGTAAATTGGAAATATTTGTTATGATGTTTAAATAATATATATTGTGAGATTAAAATAATTGGACATCGAAAGCAATTTCATCTTGAAGTGTACATAAGAAGTAGAAGCTTTTTTAAAAAATAACTGCAGAAAAAAATTTAGACATATAGCATTAGGGGAAAACTAATAACAATCGCTATAAAAACTGAATGGGGTCATGAATTAGTTTAAATTAATCGAGATTAATCTAAAATAATATTGTTTAAAATAAAAATTAAATTTCACCTGAATTTTACTAGATTAACTTATTAAGTTAATTAATTTTGATTGGATCAATTCTCAATATATTTCAACATAAAATTTAAGCGGACAAAATCTTGGATTAATAGATCAATGAATTAAATTGTCGGGTTAGATTTAATAATATGCATCTTTTATAGAAAGCTGGTGGAACTTAATTCAAAAATTCTAATTGAATGATTTTTTTTTTACTATTCAATTTTTCCATATCTTTTTACCTTAAATATTGAAAAAAAAAACACAAAAACAAATTGATCAGAAGTCGAGATAACTAATCCAACTTACTGTTTACATATCCCTTAATGACTTCAACAAGTCTGTTTGTCTACAGATCTCTTAATCACATATCCCATGAATACAAGACTCGCAATTTGCAACCTCTCAATGGATAGGTCAGTTTTCTCCTAAGAGATTGTTGGCTCGCTAGAAGAATCCACCACCACACATGAATTGATAAATTGAATTTTCAGCTTTTCTCTTGTATTCATTCATGGGCAGCAATTATTCGACCGGGCAAACAAAAAGAACAGGCTGTTTTTTTAGGCCCATGTAGGGATGTGCCATTTCAGCCTTTATTGCACCATACCATGCCAACATCACTGCCATTTTCATTTCATTTTCAAACATAAATTGAGCCACCTTGCTCACAGAGACAGTTTAGGCCCATGTATGGATGTGCCATTTCAGTCTTTATTGCACCATACCATGCCAACATCACTGCCATTTTCATTTCATTTTCAAACATAAATTGAGCCACCTTGCTCACAGAGCCAGAGGGACGACGAAATTACTCATGGACCGACTCTTGCCAGCAAAGTTCCGTCTTCTATCAACCAACCATGACACAATAATTTCAGACATTATCTATGACCATTGAAGTACTTAAACCAACCTTAGTTTTTACATGTAAGGACTTTGAATCTCTTTTTCACCTGGTACCTCACCTGACAAATATGGATAAGTTCCTTCGTTGATGTAATAATACATACATAAAGACTAGGGAAAGCTTTGGATTTGTCAACACAGCAAGATAGACTCCAAAGTTCTACGGCTTGACAAGTTCAAAATTGCAGAGAAGAAACTGTGGGACAGATAAGAGATGACTGAGAACAGTCGAGTATTATTACAAGAGCCAATGAAATCCGTGACAAATCAAACCTAGTTTTTTCTTTTCTTTTTACATAAATGTGGTAATAATCACAGAGATTACATTTCATTCCTATCATCTATAACAAGGTATGAAATACCCGCTTAAGCATCAACGGCAACGAAGCAGGTTGAAAAGGCTGTAGTAGTCTGGAAAACATTATTACTAACCTTCACCGCAAATAACCACTACTCAACAGCCCTTTGTCTCACAAGTTATTAAAGAAGAATCTCATTCTGACTGACTACTGCACAACATATGGTACACAACTATCGAGTCTTCAAGCATTCCAAATCTAAAAAGCGAAAACGTACTGATCTCCCTTGTTTTATTCTTTTGCGTGTTTCCATAAAAAGAATGTTCTGTGTAAATCGTCTAAATTCAGCCCGAATATGGATTGTATGCTTGAACAGGCGGCATACCTGAGCCATAGGGGTGGACACTGCTTCCATAAGTGTTTCCAAAATGATTTGAAGGTTGCTGTTGTTGCTGGCCCATCATCATCATCATCATCATCTGCTGCTGCTGCTGCTGCTGCAACATGAAAGCTTGCTGTTGGCTGGCCATTTGGGACATTTGCACTGAATGTGGTGCAGCAACTGTGTTGGATGCAAAGAAAGGATCATGTACGGCTGTTTGCATCATGGGATTAGCCACAGGGACTGGCTCCCAGGGATTGTAGCTCACAGGCTGATTGCTCCTTCTAATTGCATCATCATAGAGGCTGTCTAATGTAAGTTTATCAAGCCCTCCAGCCTTCGGTATCAACACAAGTAATAAAAGTCAGCATATAACCAGAAAACTACCACATATCATGCACATATGAACAATCCAGTTTATAGAAGTTGACAAATTGGTATTATTTAGTGAGACATCAACTGCATACAGGAAACAAATGGTAGAATTGTTACCAGTTTGCTAGCAGCAGTGGTACTTTCATTTGAACTAGGAGCCGTGACAAGCGCCAGCTCCCAGCCTGTAGTTCCATTTGCATGTGTTGGGACAGGGGCACTTTGTTGTTCAGCTGCAATAATAGAAAACAGTAAAACTTACTCTGATTCACAATTGCCAGCAAACTACTGCAAAGAGACTTGATCCAATAATTCCTACCACCATGGTCTTCATTCTAAGTTTTAATGGTCTGAGGATTTGGTTGGAGGGTTTGCCTTCCATAATGTCAAATTTCATGTGTCTCAGAACAGAAGCTATACATGTTGATTTAGCTTTTAAAATGAGTTCTGAAAACTTTTGAGCCATAATCCAACAGAAAGTAAGATTCGACCATCATAAAAAACCTACCAACTGGAACAATTGCAAGAGCCAGGGCATTCTTCTCATCTAGCTCTGAAGCAACTGGAACAGGATCATCCAACCCCTAGACAAAAAGGAAGGAAAAGGCAGCTCATAAGGGAACCGAAAAAATGTTCAGAATCTTCTCAGCAAGAAATGCTACATCCAAATTAAATGAAACAAAGGCTATGAACTTACCAACAAATCAGGTGGTTGAGCAACAGGCTCTTCCACCTTTACTGGTTCAGGTGGAGGTGGTGAAGGTGGCTGTTCCTCCTTTACTTCTGGTTCCTTCTTGTACTCTATGGCTAAGATTTCCTTAGGGGCAGCAATTTTATTATCAACGAACTGCAAAGTTGAAGATTACATTGTCAATAATAATTATTGCAAGATCAAGACAAAAACATAGCATAAAACACTAATGAAAGGTGTACAAGTATTAGATATTACTAATTAGAAGGGAAAAATAAGAAATTTACAAACCATTACAGAGAGTGGAAACATTAAAAATCTAACACATTCAATTCAGAAACATATGCATTATTTTTTTACGCCTGATTCATGTGAATATAGATTTGATAGAGTTTTATAGCATGCCTTGGCATGTGGGATTCTTCAGTAACATCGCATGCATGGCAAATTATAATAGTGGTAGATAATCCTTCAGGGAAATTCACTCCATTGTCAGTTAACCAATTGATAGCAATTTCTTTCCCACAGCAATAAGCTAATTCTCGACATAAATGATAAATGGTGTCCTTTCACTGCCATGTTCTTCCCTCCAACACAAATCCATTACGCAGAGAGCATTTCTGTACCTGATCCTTCAGAGCTGTTGTCACCCTTGGAGCATCTCGCACATACTCTTCCATGGTTTGTAGGAATGATAAAGGAGGCTTCATTATCAAAAAAAAAAAAAAAAGAATTAATCAACATAGATAACAGAGAAAAATCCAGAAAAACATATGTTCCCAAAAGACGCCACAAACATGAATGCAGACCTGCTCGATCTTTATAAACTTTTCTCCACGCCCAATATACATGCTTTTACATATCTCGTAAAATTCTGAAAGTCTCTCTGCCTGAAATACGCTGAAAGTTAAGAGTACACCTATGGAATACATATATAACAGCTACCCTAAGAGATTGTTAAACTGTCATTTGCACAGCATTCAGATGATATTACCTGCTGACAAGCCCTTCTATAAATTTCCAGAGCCTTTGCAGCATCAGGGCGCTGCATCTCGAAAAACTGTCATCCGTAAATGGTATTGTGAGTACCTAATTTTCTGAATAGCCTAGCTTCTGATGTGAAGAACAAAAAATGATTGGACAAAAAAATATGGCCACTTACCTTGTCAACCAAATTGGCAGTAGCATCATTTATAGCTTGATAAACTCTAATGCTCTCAGAAGCCACCTATTATCGTGGATGACAAAAAGCATAATCAAGAACGTGTAAATACCCCCTGCATACCAAATCAGCTATGCAAAGAATATGCATGATTTATAAAAGTCCACTCACCAATTGGAGTGCCAACTGAATGACAAAGTTATTGGCTGCTGCCCCTTGTGGCTGCACAAAAAGGTACAAAATTGTTTGCCCATGTTAAAAAAAAAAAAGCACTCATGAATAACTGTATCCTAAATCAAGAAACAATTATATCTGTGCATTGAGTTGAGAAGATCACTTACCTGACAACCAAGAATGCGGAAAAGAAGCTGTTGCAAAGCTGGCAGTTGCTCCAGTATTTCAACTGTGTCCAGATCTTTGGTCCGCTGTATAAAAGATTTATCAATGAATTTCTCTTGAGAACATCTAGCACAAATGTCAATGCTTAGGTTTTGTAAAACCAAAAAAATAATTATACCTAAATAAAAGAAAAAATCAAATTTATATATGTGATTGCTTAGATGTGGTAAAGTCCACATAATAGTATTTAGTGTAATGAAATGGTTGAAATAATGAACTGTAACAAGGATTTCAATTAAAAAATCCTGAGTAAATTGAGAGCCAGGATGGGTCACGGTAAAAAGACAAGTTCTCACAGGTCGATCCATCTCAACATCATACTTCAACAAGCGAAAGCATTCCAACCTCTCCTCCAAAAATAAGGCATAGGTGCGAACCCAGGCAGAATAATCCCATGCTGTTCAACACATAACAATAATCATCATAAACAAAGTTTTAACCAGAATAATCACTTCACCAAGAAGAAAAAAGATACCATTTGGACTGGAATCATCTTTGAAATGGGCCATGTTAAGCATATGGCTTCGGCTTCTTCCATAATTAATGATCTCCTCGTGGAACGTCTGGTCCACTTCTCTCAAAGCCCGATGAATAACGATTAAAGTTTTCAAGGCAACCTAAAAACTAGCAGAAAGTCAAACAAATTGCAGGAGAAAAAAATGCTAGCAGCAAGTCAAACAAATTGCAGGAGAAAAAAATGGACAGATAAGAAATACACATATGCATGCATCAATAATATGGACATCAAATCACTCAACGCATCAACTTCGGAAAGTACCATGGATGAGTTATCCATGAATCATGATAACTGCTTTCCATGAAATGAAACACGGGATTCATAAATATAGGAAAATGAACTACAGCCACCTTGACATGACGTGCTTAACTTTCACTAGTGTAAACTTCATTTATATTTTTCTGTTTCAGATCTAAATGGCTGTAAAGGCAGGTACGGGAAATTTCAGTCAATCCTGTCCATAAGTTTAACTTGCTTATGAAGAAACTTTCACTCATTTGTTCAAAGTGACAAATTATTTTTTGCTGCTTCCTTCATTTTGAAAATGGCAAAGCAGAAGACTACGAAAACATGGTGCTGCAATATAATGTTCAAAGTGACAAATTATTTTTTGCTGCTTCCTTCATTTTGAAAATGGCAAAGCAGAAGACTACGAAAACATGGTGCTGCAATATAATGTTCAAAGTGACAAATTATTTTTTGCTGCTTCCTTCATTTTGAAAATGGCAAAGCAGAAGACTACGAAAACATGGTGCTGCAATATAAACTATTTCATAAACATAAATGCACTGACCAACAAAGACTACAGAGATGTATATTATTCCGTCAGGTTGAAGTTCATATGTTCATCAGATTTTCTAAGGTATGAACTATAAAGCTACATGATACATCAAGTGTCTTTAGTCATGTCCTCAATAAGGTGATACATCCCAGAGGGTTAGTGTTCCTAAGCAGCATTTTATGCATTACTGTCACCTAATTGAATTCCAGTGCAAACAGAATTCCGGCAAGGCATGAATTTAGATTGACAGAATAGTAAAATCACTTCAAGCCTCTGTATTCAGAGCTATCTAGTCACATAAGATTTCAAGTGATGCTGATGCACATACCGCCCAGTTATGTGTCCTCGATAAACGCCGCGCAAGAGCATGGATGCAATATGCAACATCAGCCCGAGGTCTAGTAGCTGAAACGGCAGCAAAAATAGCTGCATAGAGAAACAAATAGAGAGCACATAAGCTCCACATCCATCAATAGAAGAGAAGGAGAGTCTTGGATCTACCTCTAATGTGTCTTTCCTTTGCAGGTCGTTCGTAGTGATTTGTGGCCTTAACTATAGCAATATCCAATTCCTGAAAAACCAAACCATCCAACCAAAATGATCAATGCTTTAACACAAAACCCAACTTCAAACAACCACAACAACAACAACAACTTCAACATTGTTTTAAACTAGTAAAATACCTTGTAATCACTATTGACTTTGGCCAATGAAACAGTGGTAGTGTCCTTGAGGGCACCAAGTGCTCTCCTCAAACTGTTCTGGGTTCCACCTCCTGACATTCTCTCTCCCTCTCAATTACAGAATTCTACAAACAAACCCATCGAGTCAACTCTATTCACACTAACTCTCTAATTCAATAAGCATTAATTTACATAAATGAATCTGATCATAATTTCAGACCCTCAATTGACTTTCATAAGCTTACAATTAAATGAATTTAGTTAGATCCAGATATATAAAAGATAAAGCTTCCATCAGTGACAACATAATATCAGCAACATTAACTAATTATCAAAACAAAAAAATCTAAATCAACACCACCATCAAAACCCCACATAATCAAAAACACAAAAGAGAAAGAAAGAAAGAACAAGAAATAATCATGAAAACTAAAAAGCTATGAAATTCACCAAATTCAATGACAAGAACCAAAAATAGATCAAGAAACCAAAGCCAGATGTACAAGAAAACATTAAAGACAATATCTACTAACACCAACAACATCCATGCTTAGCTAAAGAAGAAAACGAAGACACCATTTGACTCATCATCACCCAAAGATCTAACCAAACCAAGAAAAAATCAAAGAAAAGCAACGTTTGCGAAATTCAAGAATACATACTATAACATCATCAAAATTCAAAACAACCCAAAGGGATTACAAGAACAAAAGAGCTAGTAACAATCCCCTACCTGAACCTGAATATCAGAGAGAGAGAGAGATGAGGGGGCAAAGAAGAAGAAGTGAAAAAGATGAGGAAGAAAAGTCTTCCTATCTCCGTTCGACAGAGAACTATGAAAGTTTTTAGCTGTGATGGTGTATGTCTATACGAGCTCCTCGAGTTTTGTTGGGTCGTCGGCGTCTTTAATATTATTTTTATTTTTAATATTATTATTATATGCTATTTTACACAATTATAAATAATACTGTCTCCATCTGTTCGTAGGGTAGGTTAGTTTCTGTGTTTATCTCTGTGTCAGTAATACGGCTTTGTAAGAAGATGGACTGCCACTGTGGCACTGTCTGTCCCCCTTGCTAAAAATAGCCTCTGCCTGTGCAAATCAGGTGGTAAAAATCCTGCCTTTTTTCTGTCTATTTTTAAGAATTTATTATTTTCTTGAAGATATAATGCATTTATTAATTACCAAGTGAGGATTTTGTGAATGATAAATTGTTTTATGAAAAAAAAACCAATTACAACGTTGAGATTTTTTTATATAAAAAAATATTGTATAATATTAAGAGATGGATTAAGTGGCATTAATTATCTGGGCTTTGCTAGATTCTAGCTGATTAATTTCTTAGTTAAATTATAAACTGTTCATTAAATTGTTTAAGTATCACAAAGTAAGAAGGCAAAAGAGTCGGATTATGTCACTGATAATTGTTTTTCAATGATTTTGTGATAGATTTTATGCATTGAATGAGAGGATTTATTGCTAAAATTAATGTTAATTTTTGGGGGAAAAGATTTTAGAAATAAATATTTTAGTAAAATTGATATTACTTAATAAATTTATAAAATCAATATTGGATAGATATGCAACTATTCAAGAGTCAGCGTTTGTGATAGAAATACAAGTGCCCGACGGATTTGGTATATAAAAAAAGGTCTTTTCAATTCATTTAAGATTCGGTGAATTTTAATATTCCTCCCTATATATTTTATAATGTAAGAAAATATCAAATATTTATTACACCACGGATTAGGTTATATATATATATATATATATATATATATATATATTAGAATAGAATAGATTAGATTTTGAATTATGTATGATAATATACAAGTCTTATTCATTCTCAATATATTAAGTTAATTATTAAAAAAAATTATTCATTTAAATTATCATCACTAAATGATAGTAACAAATAAACCCAAACATGAAAGATTAATTGTTCAACTGGTTTTTGCTCATAATTGCATTAAAATAATTTTTTTAATTTTTAAAAAATTATTCTTAACATCAGCATATTAAAATAATCTAAAAATAAAAAAAATTAATTTAAAATAAAAAATAAAAAATATTTTTTTTCTAAAAAACTTTTAAAATATAAAGATAAACAATCAGATAATCATGTTGCCTCTAATAATAAACATTTGTTCCATCTACATGTGAGAGTAAAATAACCAAAAATTGAACTTCTGAATCTAGCAATAGTAACGCTAGCCTAAGCCAACACATGGGTCCTTAATTAAATAAGGAAAAGAAAAGGAAAAAAAAAAAAAACAACTTCCTTGCAATCTATACAAGAAGAGAGACAAGAGAGGTAATAGAAGTTGATCATTTCTTAAAATGTAAGCCATCAATGTACTCTACCACAAATTAAAATAATGTAGTATGTGTGAGAATTCAAACCTATAATATTGATGCTTATATCTTAGCATGTAGCTTTAGGATTACTCCATGGCGAGAATTTCTTGTCCAAGAACTAGAACAGCAAGAGGTGAAAGGGAAAGTTGGGTTAAAAACAAGAGAGGTTTATGATTATAATAGTGTTGGCCAGCTAAAGGTTAAAGGCATCATATTTGAATTTTCCCTAACATCTTGACACTACCATCTCAAAAATAAGAATCATGATGCATGAGAGAACCAAATTAAGTTTTGTTTTCTTTAAATTAAATCTCATTTTCAGTTTGTTATTTTTTTATAATTTAAATTTTATTTGAATTTGGAATCCAAGCTTGCTTATATATTTTTTTTCTTTGTTTCTACATCGACGTGATTATTTGAGGATTAATTTCTTACTTTTTTTGCTTTAATTTAAGATTTAAATTCTAAATTAAATTAAATATACGTTTGGTATTACGGTGTTGTGCGCTTTTCATAAGTGTTTTGTACTTAAAAATATATTAAGATATTTTTTATATTTTATTTTTATTTTTATTTTTGATATTATCACATTAAAATCATCTCAAAACATCAATTTAATTTTTTTTAAGTGCAATGCATTCTTAAATTGCACCAAAAAATAAAAGTCATCACCACACGCTAAAACACTCAAGCCCTGGCGTGGAAGATTCATTTACTACACTTGATCAAGTTCTACTCTACCAAATTAAAAATAAATGAGTGATAAACAAACTGAAAAATAATTATTTTCATTCATAGGAAATATATTCTAATTAAAAAAAGGTATTCTATTAAAAAGCACATCAAATATCTCATAAGAACTTGTATTATGCTATCTAAAATGTGTATGAAATCATATTATAGATGCCATGTCTAACATATAAAACACAAAGTAATAGACTAATAGGTAATACAGCTTGGACGACGTGGTAGGTAAAGCTGTTAGAAAATCACCGTCGCAGTTGGTGCCACTAGGAACACAGCTGTATGAGCAGCCAGCATTGCTGCAGTGATTCTAATGTGGCTGCCACCCTTGTCGCACAAGGACGGTGAGCCTTCAATCAAATAGAAATGGAAGTGAGAGAAAAAAAGGGGGTAAAAAAACATAAAGAGTTTACACACAGAACAGATCTACCCATGATTTGAATTATTCACTGGGACATGACAGGACAGCTTTTGTCCGGTTAATTTCTGCTTTCACTTTTGGTGTCTGCACCCACTTTCATGCTTGGCGGTCCATCCTAGTTGGCCTTCTTGTTTTAAAGAACACAAATTGATATAATATTCTTATAATAATTTGGGTTTTTTCTAAGATAAGATTTTATTTCATACATTTTCTTATAAGTTAATTTAATTTTTTTTATTTAAATAAATTTTATAATGAATATATATATATATATATTTCAAAAGAAATTCAAATTTCATTTACAATCCGTATTTTAGATCATTTTTAAATTATTTAAGCAGATTCATGGAGACTGAGATTCTTAAAGCCATCCATTTATTTTTAAATTAATATATTCATGAACTATTTTTTTCTGACAATTTGATGTTAAACCCGGATCCAAAACCATAGAATAAAGACAAATTTATTTTACCTCTCGACGTAAAGATTTGATAAAAAAGAAAAAAGAAATCTATCCAGGTAAAGAATTTATTTGAAAGTGACGTTGATAGTGGTCTCCACTTTCTGGCACACCTTAAATTATGCTGAAAAGAATTGTAGCCGTTTGATCACTATTCGGACTTCCAAGATTTGATATTGGCAGGGCTCTCTATTTGGTGCGTAACAGCGTTTCAGAATGTGAAGCCAATACTGTTTTTAAAAAATTTATTTATTTATTATTAAAAATTATTTTTTAATATAATTTGAATCATTTTAATCCGTTAATTTTAAAAATATTTTTTTTAAAATAAAAATTATCATTTTAATACATTTCAACATAAAAACCACTTTAAAAAAACAACTCCAGAACCAACAGGCTAACCTTAAAAGCACACTCTCTACCTCGGCCTGCTACATTCAAAATAATTTAATAAATCTTTCTAAACGCTAAGTTTAAGATCCGAACTCATAGAGGGAGATGGTTGGCTTACAAGACTACTACTAGATTTTAGTTTACTAAAATGGTTTTTCGGCTGAAAAAGGTCAGTCCAATGTCGTAAACTTGGGGGGCCTCCCATGTTGCAATAGCAATCTGCTTGCCGATACAAGATTAGAGAACAGTCGACGATGCTACTTCCTTCCTCTTTGGAGATAATGCTATAAAAATAATGGAGAAAATTGATAGGGAAACAAACTACGAATGTTACAATTGCTTTACCACCTCACTACATTGCCTAGTGTTTCAAAATTGATGGTCCTTGAAACAAACCGTCAAGATCTCTTGACAACAACAGTGGCAAAACATGGGTGGTGGATGAACTCGAAAGAAACCTTGAGGGACGGGTCAAGAGCTCCAACTCGGGAAATCACATTTACGGCGACGCTATTGTGCTCTGCAACCTGCTCCAATATGCAAAGTTCAGCTAATCTGTCCGGGTCATTAAGAAAACTATTCTTGACCTCCTTTGCAATCTTCTGAGCATCCTTGAAGTAATTATACATAACCAAACTCTATAGATAGAAAGATAAATCAGTTCAGGTTTATATAAGAAAGGATTATGCCGGCAATAGCTAGAGCAATCATAGACTGCTTACGGAGAAGCGGGCATGGGAAGTGGATTCCTTGAATGACGGGTATGAAATGAGATCAGGGATACAAGCTTTTTGTAGAAGTTCAAAATGCTGTATAAACCTCTGGAAAAAATAAATAAATTTGGTGTGAGAAGAAATAACATATCACCAAGCCATCTTATGGTAGATCAGGGATACACTTTTCTGTGATGGCTAAGCTAATTATTTTTTGCTCCTCCAAATGACTGAATAAAAAATAGTGCAAAAGATCTAGATGGCATCATTTATATTGGCAACACAGTTTATGCTTCGCGTTATTTGAGGGATGAATAACCATCATTTCCTCTTTCTATTATATTGCATTCTATCATGCTCTACAAAACATCGCCTAAATACCATATACATAAAATATACACTTTACCTCATGTTCAGAATTAAAGGGGCTGGGAGATTGTAAGACCATCAGTTCATTCCTCAGAGCAGCGAGTAGCTAGACAGACAGAACAGGTAATTTAGATCCTTTGAGATGAAAATGGTGTGAAGTAAAAACATTGTATATGAAGAAATGGAAGCATATGATCTCAGATTCACTGGGGTTCAAACTACCTAGAAGCAAGGGGGTATGAGATGGAAAGATGACCAATTCTATACAGTGACGCCAAGCCTGGTAGTTCTCAAGAATGGATGCATAAACCTCCCCCCCCCCCCCCCACAAAGAATTACTATGTCCAATTATTCGAAAGAATTGACTTCAGGTTGTACTAAGAGATTTTTTTGATTGTCTGTGAATTGAATGAAGTTATATATTTTGCAATTTATTAATTCTTTATGGCATTTTAGCTTTTTGTGCAATGGACAAACAATATGAGGCAGAGCAAGCATTAGGAAAAAGGCACATGTACCAGTGCGAGCCCTTCAGCAAGACATATTTGGCATTGAAGAAACAAGATTGCTGGTGGGATCCGAGCTTCTCTTGCCAGATCTTTTGGAGAATCCTTTCTTTTCTTTCCCTTTTGTTTAGCTGATTGACAGATGAACATGAATAAAACAAGTTGGTGCTGTATGCTAGGGAGATTTACCAGTGCAGAAACAATTGCATGCGGAATATAAGAAATATTTTATTATCCTGGCACTAATGGTCTGTCCCATATGTCAAAACACTTAAATTGGCCCAGGAGGCCATTTTTGTTCAATCAATGGTCTGAAAATGCTAGATGAGACTGCGAATAACCCATATGTCAAATTCCTGTTAAGCAACAGTTCATTTGCAGGCTCATCTAGTCAACTGTTATTTTGTTTTTCCCTTGTCAAGTGCTATAATTATTAGACTGAAACCTCTAGCTGGCAATCTAGCAGAGTTGTTTAGTGCAATTTTATGCCTCCAATTCAACATGATTCACAAACTCTTTTGCTCCCAAGTCCTAACCTCTATCCTTGAAAACAAACAAAACAAGTGAGAAGTAGAGGTACACCTACCACTGCCATCACTCACTGTCATCTTCAGATGTGTTTTCTCTGCAAGCCTGATCAAGACAACATATAAATACCAATATACCATGCAATATTCGCTGGGAGAATAGAGCTCTAATTCGAAACCAAGAACTAGAAATCGGTGGGCAATCCAATAAGTTTGCTCCTCCACCCAGATGAGGATGTGTTTTAATATTCCTGCTGATGCATTCTGCAAAACCAAATATATGTTAACAACTCTATAAAATAAGTATCCCAGTTTATGACAATGGCGAACGGAAACTGAAATACATAACAGAACTGGTAGAATGTGGAGATAAAAGATTTGCTGATACACATTTATATCTAGTCCAATAATGGAAAAAACTAAAATCTAAATTCTCTCTTTTGCTCTCATTTGAATCAAATGGAAAAGGAATTAATCATGCAAGTATCATCAAGTTTGGACAAATGAAGTCCCAGAAAAAAGCTCCTTCCTCTCAACAGGCAACATCCATGCAAAACCTTGTATTGAAAATTATTGTAGATGACAACTTCATTCATTTAATCAAGTTATAATAACCATGGTTAAACAATAAGAAATTTCTGCACTACCTTCAGACAGTGTCCAATTACAGTTGCAGCTTCCTCGTACTATATTCAGAATCTCCAACACAACAACTTCATACATATTAGTTTTCTCACAATGGCTACGTTAATTATCCATTCTATAAAACTTAATGTTCTATTCACAATGGCAGAAGATGATTTTGGTCTTTCTGTTTTTATCTTTAAGAGAGAGAGAGAGAGAGAGAACAGTAAAGCACCTAAGGCAATTCCATTTTCTAATAAGTATTATTTTAAGGGACCCAAACGATGAATACACATATACTGAACATATCCCTTAAGGCAATACACTTGGTTACATAGTCAACTGACAATTTAAATGACTATGTTTGTATGTATATATTGGAATTATTTATATGATAAGAAGCTGATTTCCTTTCATACGCTAACCATTTTTTGGTTACAACAATGAGTCAAATACTCAAGGGAGCAGCATACCTCGCCATTTGCAATGCTTGAGCCTTCCCCAAACTCCTTTCTGAATGCAAGCTCTAGCTGTTAACCAACAGATGTAGAGAGCATAAGCATAAACACCACCTGATCTCTGCCAAAAAAAACTCTGAAAGCAGATACTTGAACCATATGATCTACATTTGGTTTTGAAGAATAAATAAAAATCAACAAACTGCAAGAAACTCATCAAGTTTAAATAGCTAGATACTTCAACAAAATGAGGTGGTTTTGACTGAAGGTTAGAGGCTGGAGAGGACCAGACAACACTGCAGTAGCAAAACTAGCACTTAAAGCATTGTAACCAGCTAACCATAAGCATCAACTAGCCCAAAATGAAAAATAAGTAAACAAAATTCTAAACAGAAAATACTAACACGAGACATGCCACAATTTCATAATTTATGTAGACAGGCCGATTGTATGATAGATTGTACAATTTTGATTAGGTTAAGCACCATTACTCATTTCCACAATAATAGTTAGGTTCAAGGCAAGTCAAACTCAATTATCATCTATTCAATAAATATACTAGAATGCATTGTGGTTAAAATAAACAAAGCATTTGAAAGGAGCTTTGCTTAAGGGACAAACAAATAGCCCAAGAAAACAATACAGAAAGGAAGATCACGAACCTGTACATAGATAGCACGCCAATCTTGTAAAATCTTTCCAAGTTTACGCCTCTGCCATGCAGCATTTGTGCAAAGAATCTTGAGCATGTTGATCACTATCTGCATAACATGTGATAATGCAAAATTATTAGATGATACTACGGCATTGACTGCCATCAATTTTCATGATATTTCAATTTATTTTGCCCACATCCTAAATAGGATACATGATAGTGGATGACTTTTCAAATTTACCTCTTAGTTATTATGATTAATAACATGCCATTTTCAAGGATCATTTTTACAATGGAAAGGCAATTTCAAAAATATATAACGGGGAATGGAATGAACAATGTTTCTTTAACTAGTGAAGAACATCATAAGGTGGCCACTTGGGGAATGGAGATATAGTAATGAACAATGTTTCTTTCACTAGTGAAGAACATCATAAGGTGGCCACTTATGTGATTGAAGGAATGTAATAACAGATAACAATTGTCTTCACCTGTCCTAACTGCACAACATATTCATTCTTCTGAATATCATGGCGCATAATGACCTCAGGCAACCGTGCAGCTCTAATAATCACAGCTAAGATAGGATACCGCCCATAGAGTTTTCCATCTTGAACCAACAGAAGCTGTAACAAGTTTCAGGGTCAGAATATAATGATAAGGAATTACCAAAAGAATCTTGTACAAAGCGAGGAACAAGGTGAACTGAGAAGATAAAATAGAATGGGAAGATGAAGTAGTACCAAAGATTAGAATGCCAAACACTAAGCATAACTCAAGGAACAAACAATACTGCATTCCCTAACAGACTTCAGAGATACAAAATGGTTACACATCTACATTAAGCAACAAAATGGCAACACATACATATTCCTCTTCTTTTTTGTTTCTTTCAGTTAAAAAAAAATAATCAGGGCTGTTAATACTCTGACAAAAAGTGAAGTGAAGTGCATAATTCTCTAGAATATGATGAGAACCTGTGTCAATAAAAAAGGTTAAGGAATCAAAAATAAGGAAGCAGCCCAGTAACATCAATCTAATCATATCAAAGATATTGTGGATGAAGTCCAAATAACCTGGAGATGCACTCTTGCAACCAAATCAGGTTGTGCTTTTTGAAATTGAGCCACAAAGCGCAAAAGAACATCCAAAGAAGGGTCCAACAGGTATGAACATATGATATCTAGATGATGAAGAAGGTTTTCAAAATACTCGATGGCCTGGAAGAACAGATAGACAAAGAATATCAACAAATAAAAAATGGAGAAACAAAACAATCCTAACCATTAAGTTCTAACCTTTTTCCAACTAAGAATTTTAATTGAACGTGGTGGAGTTGGGGCTGAAATTCTGCTGTTTAAACTAGCATCAAACCCAATAGCTTGATGGCCAGAAGCAGTTGTTCTATCTTCTGTACCATCTTCACAAGTTCCATAGGCATTAGACATTAGGAATTCTTCTGATTTAAGAATTATTCCCAGCTCTGAAATGCAGGAAGCTATATGTTTTCTTGCCAACTCTAGACCTCTTCCTTGAGGTCGCCTCATGCAGGTTAAAACATGGCAAAAGTGCTGAAAGCAGAGGAAAAAATGGTAAAAATATGTTGACCACAAAAAATAAGTGCGGTGCAAAGGACCAGGTAAAAAAAGATGAAGTTGACTCATGGGCAACAATATTTTCTGAATGTGAGCAAAGGATAGAGAAGACATAAAGAAGAGGCATGCTTGGAAAACAAAGATATCAGGAACCAGAATTTGAGTTATTTGCATAATAGCCAGGAGAAATAAGAAAAAGTAGATAATTGGTGAGCAGAAAGGAAACGAATATCCAATTATAAATCATATCACTAATTCCTCAATATTGAAGGAAGGAAAAGAAAACCCTAATATTGCAGAAAATATTGAACTCTTCCAAAAGTGACAGTCAAAATGATAGCTTCATCATTTGTTTTTAACAGCTTGAAATCTTTTAACCAGAAATCAAAGTGTTTTAAATCCTTGACACCTTGATAAATTCTGATATTCAGCATCTCCAGAATCTTCTATCTGACCACAAGCCAAACAAGTCTTTTAACTGAATTTGTGTATCTCGATTATAAAAGAAATAAATTCAATCCAATGAACATTCACACAATGCGCAAAGATTCTGAAAGAAAAGAAAATTATGCATAGATAGGATCCATATCACCATGACACTTATTTTAGAGCAAACACAGGATAAGACCTTACGAAAGCTTAAGCGGCATAACAAACCATGACGCTTATTTTAGAGCAAACACAGGATAAGACCTTACGAAAGCGTATGCGGCATAACAATGCTTTGCAGTAGCCTTCTTCGAGATCAAAATTATTTTGTAGAGGCTCTATATCTGCATCAACAAAATCACCACATTAATTAAAAGAGATACATTGATATTTCATGCCAAGCACTAAAAGGTAGTGATGGAAACATGAATGGTAATGAAACACAACCTTTTTTTTTTCATGTAACCAGTGAACTTAAAATGAAAATCAATTAGCATCAGAGATTAGAAAGCATACACTTCTAAATCTTAATAAATTGAACAAGTTGGAGTTTGCAATTCATCTCTTAAAAACACTAATTCTGCAGGGAAAAATAATCATTTACCAGTAAATACAAGAAACAGTGGGCTGCTAATGAGGATATGGAGTCCCATAAAGTAGCAATAAAAAAAAAAACCCACTGTGATGCAATTGGTGTGAAAGTCCCAAGTTTACATATAAAGTGATTGGACAAGTAAAAAAGATCAAGATTTTCAAAATCTAATCCCAAAATAATTCAAAGGTCATGCCCCCTCTATCTTGACTGCCTCTGTTCATAGTGAACGTGTTATTAGAATAATACCCTCTAACAGTTTTCTTTTGGAGGGTGGAGCTTTGCAAGCTCGCAGCTGGCGAGAAATATTCTCTTCGACAGCATTTAACAACGACAAGCACTTTTCATCTCCTTCCACATTCAGAGGAAGGCCATAAGCCATTGTAAACAGATCCTCTTCCTGCCAAAGAACCAATTTGTAAATCATGCTTTTATAAAAATATAAGCAAGAAAAAATAATAAAATATAATAATAAAAATTCAAGCATGCGACGTCTTTTTCCATTTCAATGAACACAAAGTTTAATATTAAGATAGCAATAATGTACAATAAAGAAGAAACAAAGGAATCATTGAAGACTAATTATACAAAAATAAACAGAGTTAAAGGAGCTGTTAAAATACTTTACTTCATGTGTGCGTGCATCTGAGACAATTGAATTCACTGCCTTGCACGTTGCACGGATGACTTTGCAATAAGAATCCAATAGGGCATGTGATAATGTCCTCTCTGGTCTCAGAAGGTAGGCGCATGAAAAAACAGTCTGTGCCAACGAGTGACCCTTGTGCCATGTTGCCTGCCATGAAAGACAATTGTTTAATAACATTATTTTATTTATGAAAAGCATTTCATTTAGGATTAACAACCCCCCCCCCCCCCCCCCCGAGCCTTCCAACCCACCTCTTTTACCAAAGCCCAGGACCAGGGCCACTTAACCTATATTTACTCATATTTGCACATTAGGCATATGTAATCATTAATGCATGCAAATTTCAGTGCGCACAGATGAGTGTGTGTTTATAAAGCAGTTTATTTTTTTCAAAGATTTTTCTTAATGAGAAATGGATATAGAGAAATGCTGATAAACTCAATCCACAGCAAAAAGGGAACACATTGCAATTATATTAAGTATACAAGCCGGAGAAATTATAATACAAAAGGAACTTCCACATTCAACAGTGACGAGACACTCTTGATCCCTCAAACTTGATGCATCACTAAGGAAAGTAAACCACAACACTATGATACCTCACACGCTAAGAGTTGGTCGATGATGTCAATGATGCACTGAACATCAACAGTTTTATCAAGGCTAATAGGTACAGGAGCCAAACCGTCTTCTATCGCTTCGTCAACAGAAGCATACTTGTTGATGATTCCAGAATCCATCTTCGGGTCCATAATCTAACAAAATCAATTAATACAAAAATTAAACCACGAAAATAAATCACTAATCAAATAAATAATATCATATTAAAATGAAAATGTAAGAAATTACCTCTAGAGCAGACATTGCGGCATATAGGTTGAAATTCTCGCCATGAATTAGCTCACCGTCGCGTAATTCTGTTACAGGACATTATATTAAAAACAGAATTAATATCAATCATTTAAAAGAAAAAACGACTAGCATTGTACATTTTGTGTTAATTAATTAAGCATTTAAGAAAAATCAAATTTTAATATATAAGAGCAGTAATCTAAATCTAATGATTGATAAAAAAAAATACAGCGCAAATTAAAAAAATAATAATGATAATGATAATAAAAAGAAATAACCTTGATAAAAAAAATACAGCGCAAATTGAAAAAAAAATAATGATAATGATAATGATAATAAAAAGAAATAACTAGTTCACACTTACAAATTTCAGGAACTCAAATACAAATTTCAGGAACTGAAAAATAAATAAATAAAGAGTTTTAGGAAGTTAAAAAAATAGAAGCTAAATCGGAGACCTTTACAAACGGTTTCAAGGAGAGGCGACGCGTCGGCCCAAACAGTGTTTTCAGTTGCATGAATTGATGAGGAGGTGGAGGTGGAGTGATTCGGTGCATGACGCTCCATCGATGCTTGTTCTGTGCTTTTCCAGTCCATTGATGAATGTTTAAGCTCTCCTTCAAGTTTGAGAGAGAATCTTTTAGTTTGATGCTTCGATTCGAAGACCGAGATACTTAAAGAGGGACTGTGCGCGTGGAAAGGAAGGGTTTAGGGCTCTTGTTTGGGTTCGGAACATAGTTATATAACCCGACATTGCTCATGGATCAACTCAGTGACCCATTAATTCAGCATCAGTTTGGACCCAATTCTGTTTAGAAACAGATTCTTTAATTAAGAAGATTTTTTTTTTTAGTTTATTTAAATTGAGTATACATGATAATTTGTGGATTGACAGACTGACCAATTATCTAGGTTTTGAAGATGGTATTTAGTATCATGTTTTTAATATTATTTATAAAAAAATTAATTTTTTTAATTTACTAATATCAAAAATAAATTAAAAATAAATATTATTACAATATCCAAAAAGCTCGAAACTTGAGATCTATAACCCGATTAGGTTGGATTAAAATTAAACTAAACAAAACATTAATTTAACAAATCTCAATTCATATGGTTTTGCTTTTAGTAATTCAGCGGACCAATCAAAATCTGACTAGATTAACCACCGAAAAGAAAAAAAAAAGTTAGCTAGAAAACAATATCCTTTTCCAAGTCAAGTCTCCAAATTAAATCTGAGTAGACAAAAATTACATGAAAACGTCTCTTTTTTCTGCCTTCGTCGTGTTGGAAAACTAGGAACAATCGAACATCAATTTACCTCGATCAATTCAGCAGAATACAATTTATAATTTACAAGTCCCAATTCTTTTTCTCTTTGTGCAGTAAAATAGAATCAAACAATGACCAAATATAATGCAAATAATCACAAAATCAACATCAAGATTTTAACGTGGAAAACCCGTTTAGGGTCTTTTTGTTTCTACGTTTCAAAAGTATTTTTAAAAAATTTAATTTTTTTTTATTTTTTTATTAATTTCAAATTAATATATTTTTAGTATTTTCAAATTATTTTGATATGTACTGTCAAAATCTCAGCCCGATCCAACGGTGAATAAGCTGGAAATCAAAGAAAGAGCACAAGTTGCTCTGCTGTTTTTTTTTTTTTTTTCTTTTTTGATTTTTTCTTTTTATTTTCAAATCTAAAACTACATTACCCGAACATTAAATTTTAAAGAGCTCGGCTGACTCTCTTCTCACTAAATATATATAATGATCCCACCACGGACCACACACAACACTTCGTGGCTTTGGCTTGACTGCCGTTACAAGCGTGGATGCATGCATATGCATGCGTGTTCATCTAAAGCACTAAATTCGAAATTGTCTGGGTTAGTAGCGTAATTCTAGGGTGGTTTTACCTTTAACTGCATTTCCACGTGTTTCATGCAAGACAGAGTTTTTCATAAACCTCACCCGTCACATTTGAGGCCAATTAGTGAAGAATTAAAAGGTGCTCTAGAACATGTCGGAAAACATCTGAACATGAAGAAATACTTAGAACAAGCAAGAGGCAAGGAGGAAATCTTCGCATTCATCCTGATGTAGTATGATCAATGAAAATCCTCCACGTGGAAGGTAATGTGGGGGGTTTAAGACCATTTCCGTGCGAAGCTCAAGTTGTGGCAAATATCAAATTAATTGCACAGTCATTATCATCAAACTCGATTAATATCCTAATCACAGCCGGTTTTGATGTGAATGGAAATCTCGGATAAAATTATAAATAAAGTATTTTAAAATGATTAAGAAATATTTTATTATTATTATTTATGTACGTGTGGCAAGTGGAGTCTTGGACAATTTTCATTTCGTTCTTGAAGCTTTTTGTTAAGTAAGCAATTTTTATTTTATAAAACATAATTAACAAATATATCTTATTTATTATTGAGGTTTTTTATTAAGTGAGGGGCCTTGGGTCATTACTCGGTAGCTATTAACTTAAGTCAGCTCTAATTCTAATATGTTCCTCGTTGGGATATTGGTGTTCACTTTTAGAGACATCAAAGTTGTTTTTGATTTAACCTATTTTGTTTTTAATAAAATATGTTGAAATTAAAAACACAAATAGATATTAAGAGTGTATATATCATTTTAATATATTTTTAATTAAAAATATTAAAAAAAAAATTAAACTATATTAACAAGTACACTAAAAATAAAAGAATCGAACATGAATATAATATATGAAGAGAACGTGTCTTAAGTTTGATGAGATTTTAATCAGATTATTTAACATATTTTTTTTTGAGGATTTGAATTTGATGAGATTTTCAATCACATCATTTAACATATAATTTTTTAGAATTTATCTATTTACTTTTCTTTTCTTTTTATTTCCTTACCTGTGAATTTATCCTAATTATTTGCCAATAGTTTTTGGATTAAAGAATTAATACTTTTTTTTTAATTTTATTGTTCAATAATAAATTTTATGATTGTTTTATACAAGTTATTTTCATTAATTACCTTTTCATCTTTTATTGTCACAGTTAATCATTTGATTGAACAATAAAAATTATTTCAAAAAATAAAGTTGTTAAATATAATTGAATATAAAGCTTATGTTGGGAGTTCAAATATCTTAATTTTATTTATCTCTTGGTAAAATATCAATTTAATTAATTACATACGTGTACAAACATTTTCAATTTATGATTGAAAATATTTTATATCAAAAAATGTGTTGGAAAAACTTGTACCTTTAATTTTATTTTGTTAGAAAAAAATTATCCAACCCATAACAAAACATGAGTCACATAGCTAGTACAAAACCCTAACTTGTGTGACCAAAATATTGTACACCCACCACTTTTCTCTTTTTCACATTAAATTATAGACTCACATTCTTAGCCTTTTTTAGTTTGATCCTCATATTTTTTTTGTGATTGCATTATTTTTTATCTGAATTAAAGGATAATTGAATCAAATTATTGACCAAGAACATAATTGAAATATGGGGGACCAAAATGGAGAAGTCACCCCAATTGGGTGATGGTTTAAAATTTCTTATAAAAAGTTCACTTTAGTCCTCAAGATTCACATATCATACCTATTTGGTCCCTCTATATTTTTTTCAATTCAATTTTGTTTTACTATTATTATTATCATCATCTAGTCCCTAGTTTAATAAAGAAGAGAAAGAGATTGTTGTAATTAAATGGTAAAAAAAAACCAATATTATTACTAATTTTAACTACTAAAATAGTTTATCTTGACAGCAAATAGAAAATGGTTCTGTTTAATAAGAGGATTAATTATCTATAATATATTTTTCAAAAAATATTGAAAGAAATAACATGTTTTTTACCTAGGTTATATTTTTCAAAACACATAAAAAATACATTTTATAACCAAATAATTCCTTAGATACCATTTTAATAACTGTATTGAATAAGAGTTTCATCCTAAAATTAAAAAGAAATAAAAAAACAGTAAAGGGCCATGAAAATAGCCCAGACAAGCCTGGGCCTACAAAGACAGCCCTTGATGATCCTCGATGACAAGTACTGCTTCGTTTGACAGTATATTTGCCCTTGATGATTCTCTAACGGACCTCCGAGGTCAATGGGAATGCTCATAGGGCCGTATGTATCATCTAGTCAACAGATACCATCGCTGGTGGCATATTTTCATTTTGGATTTACCGCCGGCGAATTTAATGGGAGCTCCATCAGTGTGTTTCCAAGAAATCCCTTATCAAATACCGAGCGTGAGCTTGCCGTGGTTGGACGGAGAGGAGAGTTCAGGTTGGCTACAGGGTTTGCTCAGTTGAAGACTTACTTTCTACATGCACCTAACGGTGACGCCATTGTTTATTATAATGTAACTTTGTTTCACCATCAAGTTAAAGTCAGAATTAATTTGACTCTGAAAAATCTAGCGGAGGCATGCCGATTATGCCTGGTAATTATTTAATAAATAATTTAGAAATGCCAATCCTTTTATAATATATTTTATTTTCATTATTTGGTATATATCCTCCTATTTTATAAGAAAAAACAATTATATAAAAAAAATAAGATAATGGTAGAACCCATCTATAATAATTGATAACTTGGTAATTTAATTCTCTATGTTGATATTTCATCATATTTGTCAAATTTAGACTTTGTTTCAGAAAGATCAAATTCAAACTCTAATTAATTTTAAAATAAAAGGGCATATGGTCAGAGCAATTTAATGCTCTTGACCAATTCATGTATATATTTTATTATTGATTAAAAATTATTATAAGCACTTAAAATATTACCATATAAAATAGCCCAGACAAGCCTGGGCCTAGACAGACAGCCCTCGATGATCCTACCAACATTTCCTTATCAGATGAGATCTGGGTGCCAGAAATTCCACCTCTGCTTCCTGCCCTCCTCATCATTCCCTTTTATATTCTTCACATTCTTCGCAAGAACGTAAGCTTAGTCTTGGAGTTTGAGATCGGGAATCTCGAGTCTCAGAGAGTACTTTATGGGCTAACGTTTCTTTTCCTCGAAAAATCAAGAAAGACTACAGTACTTGAAGCTGCCATTACTGTGGGTGACTGATCTGCCAAGTAGTTTAAGATTTGTTTTTGGTGGGATTTTGTGCTTCTTGAGACGAGAGAAGAAATTGTGTAATTGATAGATTTTTGAGGGACTAATCTAATATCTATGTGTTTGTATTATATTTATATACGAGGGTATATTTGTTTTTTTTATTTAAATTTAGAAATTATGTTGATCTGTAATTTAAATTATAATTTAAAAAAATGGAGCAAAGTGAAAAAATTACCTTGATTTTCCCTTTTGTTTTTTTTTTAAACTTACAATTTTTAATTATTAAAAATATTTAATTTATTATTAATAAATATTTTTTTCTTTTAAAAATTGACGCACCTGATTTTATCTTAGCTAATTTGCTGTAATTTTTTCATCTCAAAACAATTTTAACTTCATCTTATCTCAAAAAAACATTTATTCCTTTTCACTTATAAAGTTTGTATAAAAATAAAGCTTTATATTTTAAAGTGTGTATGGTAATAGAGCACTGATTTTTGTATTTGTAACGTTTATATAAGAATAGAGTTTGATTTATTTTTTAAATTCAAAATTTAAAATAACTTAAATTATTTTTTTAAGAGATTCAAAAATACCATATGCTATTTTTTAAATAAATTAACTGTGTTAATTTTTTTCTATCATGCTACTTAAAAAAAAAAACTCTAATAATGAAACAAGGAAGTTTCCCATGCCCAATCATGGCAAGAAACCAAGAAATGCATGATCCAACATTGCTGCTTCTTTCCAATGAGAACGGAATAAATTTTTGCATCAGGCAACTAGTTTTTTTCAACTTTATTATAAAGGAACACACTTCTTAGTCTAAAGAAGTGGTAGCTCTTTAAGGAATGATTACCTTTATGTAATGCTTTTTAAATTTTTAAATTTTTAAATTAATATTTTTTATATTTTTTATTGTCTGATGATATTAAAAATAAATTTAAAAAAGATAAAATTTTATTATAATACTAAGAAACAATACTTTTAAAATTAACCATTATTACAATATCAAACTTTAACTCATTGCTTTAGACAAAATAAAATATTTGATGAGCAAGGAAAAACTCTATCTAAATACATAAAAACGTAAGCTTTGAGAATCAATCGACCATGTGAAGACAAGTGAAACAGCTTAGAATTTGTCATGTGATATATATTGAAATCAAGAGTTGATATATAATGAAATTACACGAACTTGGAAATGAAAGTGATTTCTACGATTAACCCAATTAATTTATAATAATAACTCTTGCAATTATCCAAAAAAATTGGATGAACATATGTCATTGTTTGAACTTTTACAATAATTATAGAGATATATTTATGAAAAAATAATAATAAAATAAACGAAAGCACGTTAATTAGATATAAGATACAGTCTACTTATCCCTTTCTTGAATACTCAATATATATTCAATTAACACTAATATTTAATTCAATTAAATTCGGAACTATTCATGCTGAAGTAGGTGATTTTTATTGATAAAAAGTAATATCTTGATCATTTCTCGTGTTTTATATGTTATTATCTTTATTTATTAGTATGTGTAACCAAGTAGAGGGATTTAATTTGGCTAGGGAGATTAGTAACAAACAATCAGCCAAGCTCTAAGAAAAAAAAAGTAGGAAGAATTATCAGAAGTCTTCGAATTAAGCTCTAAGCACAGTACAAATAAAATTTTAATTATATAAAATGACGTTGCATCTCCTTCGTAGAAGGAAAGGATGCAATAATATGTATAATTGTAGAAGGCTTTGACTTGGGCACTCGGATCTTGCGCCAACTTACCGCAATACGAGTGCCCAAGTCAAAGCCTTAATACATAATTATAGAAGGCTTTAACTTGGGCACTCTCATCTTGCGGTATAATATATATTGTGCATACTAAGCGCAAGATCCGAGCGCCCAAGTCACCGCAAGATTCGAGTGCTTATATATTGTGCCAACTTACCTCAAGATCCGAGTGCCCAAGTCAAGCCTTCTACAGTTATATATTTTTAAAATTAAGTTTTTTATATGTATTATTTATTTGATTATCTTGGAGATACTTTAAAATTGTTTATTTATTTTTACCAAATAAATTTTTAATTTCATGTCTTTATAGCAATGCCCATATAATAAATATTAATTTAAAATGAAGTATTAAAAATATATATAACTGGATTCTGTAAATATGAGTAATAAAAAATGACAATAAAGTAAGAAATATAATGACAGTATCTGAACTCTAAAGTCTAACCCGCATCCCTAGCACAGGAAAGAAATAAAATAAATTAAAAATTACAGTAAAGACCATGTGGCTAACATTGTCAAACGAGATAACTCGGAGACTTGATTTGATATATTTTTTAAATGATATTATTTTAATTATTTTAAAATATATTTTAAATTAACCAGATTAATTTATCTAACCTATAACTTGACGCTTCAACCAAATCATGGGCGAAACCAGATCTTCATTGTTTACACTCATAGAAATACCTAAAATTGAACTCTTACCTGTGCCCATTATTTTATATATATATATATATATATATATATATATATTAAGTAACTGTTTTATATTCAAATTGGACCCCGAAAGCAATGGGTAGAGGGCAATTCAGAAAGGGGCATTTAAGAGCTGTTTCCTTATATCACATCAAGAAAACAGCATTTAATTTTTCATACTAGTTTGCATCACTGTTTACTTTGTTTGATCCATCACCTTACGTGGCTTGTCATTTCACTGATTTGTGGGTGGGGCCTCGGGAGATCTTGACGTCCTGTCATTATTATCATTAATAATTAACAATTAATAAACAAAAAAACTAAACGACAAGGAGATTTTACTTTATCGTTTATTGTAAAGTACTGTTCACTTACGTCATATTTTTCTCCATTTTTCTGTCTGTTTTTTCTTCTCATTTACATTTTATTTTTTAATTTTAATTTTATCACTAAACATTAAAAATATAAGATTGAACTTTGTATTCTTTTATAATTTATTTTTAGTAAGATTATTTTAATTTTATAAATAAAATAAAAAATTATTAGATTAACTTGGTTAATTTAATTTTTTATTGATTTATTTTGCTTAATTTAATTTTTTAATATTAAATTAATTAAGAATTAATTTTTTTTCTATAAAATAATTTTTATTGGATTATAAATTTCACAGATTTACTTAAATTAACTCAAATCATTTTATAATTAATTTTTTAATTTTAATCATATCTTTTAATATTAAGTTTATTTGAGAGTTTGATAAATTAAATCAATTTTTTTTTAAGTTGTATTTTTTAACCTCATGTTTGTTAAAAATTAAGTTTTATATTAAATCATTTTAAAAAATTAAAATTATATAAATTTAATATATTTTTTTAAATAAAATATATTCTTCAAACCTAAGTACACGCAAATAGTTGGTGGTTGATGAGTTAAAAAAAGATGTTGCAACAAGAATTACAGCTTCAAAATTTTATAGTTAGTGATGGAAAGGAGGATTAGACTTTTCATGGACAGTATGAACACGAGAAAAAAAAACCCAAACTTTAATAGTGGGTCAAATCGGCTCTTTGACAAAATTCCGATTCAAATTAAACCCTATACGATCAATATTTATTTTACTTCTCACTTTCATCTCTTTGATGTTTTTTTCTAGGTCGAAAATTGACAGTTAACTAAAAAAATGGTAATCCTCATATTATGTGTAAAAATTGTGATGAGAAATAAATTCATCAATGGTAAGATTGGAATATGTATTTTTAAATAACAAATATTAGAGTAATTTAAATAGATAAATTATAATTTTTTTTTTAAAAAATCCAAATCCTTCCCTCTTCTCTTACAAGGCATTCTTTGTAGAAGATCAAACACCTACATGGCAATCATTTATATAACTAGTCAAAATTATATTAGAAGGATTAATTTGAATTAAAATTGTGAAAATATTCGTATCAGCAAAAGTTAAGGTTTTTTTTCCAATTTAGCAAATCAATACATGCAAAAATATATATTTTTTTTAAATTATTTTTTTAAAATAGCCTAGCCTATGAAAATATATGAAGGTTTTCACACAAAAATTAACTCTTCTATTTTTTTTTTAAAAAAACCGGAGTATCCCCTTACGGTTTTTTAAGAACTTGAACGCGGGAATTGGGATTTTTTAGCTGTAATATTTTTTTTTATGTTAGTTTTCCATTTTTTTTAAACTGTGATAATTTTCAAAAACACCAAAATTTAAGAGTAACTGAAAAACAAATGGTCGGGCAATCATCTGTGATTTTTGGCGAGGCAGATGGCAGGTCTGAGATGTCCTTTTTTGCTTTCCTGACACGACAACAGACAGAAAGACCAATCTACCCCCTCTTTTTCACGTGATACCCCTCCTATAGTTATTCTTTGGAATGTAGTCTGACAACGACGGTAGCTTAGGTGTCCAGCTGTTTTTTCTTTTTCTTCTTCTCAGTTGATGAGTGTTTTTTAAATTAGTTTTTACATCCGATATTAATTGTTTCTCGTATAACTTTAAAAATATATATTTGTATATTGATCTAGTGTATTAAAAAAATTAATTATTTTTTAAAATATTATTTTGAGTGTTTAAATAACTATTCTCAATTCCATTAAATACATAAATAAATTTGTTATGCTATACTTTCTTGTATTCAGAATACTAGATTATTTGGAAATATAGTGTAAATTATAATTTTAAAAGTTTTAAAATTTTTTATTTAAAATAAATTTTTATATATTTTTAGATAGTTTTAATATGTTGATATCATAAATAATTTTTAATTTTTTTTTATATATTTTTAAACAAAAAGCACATGGAATTATCACAATTCCGCACAAATTATAAGATGTCACCAAACACATAAATAGAAAAAAAAATTCTTGAAGAGATTACAATTATATGAACTTAAAAATTATTAATTTAATTTCATTTAATATAAGTAGAGTCTTTGTGAAATGGGAAAGAACAATTGAAAGATGCTCATGTAACATTTTTCGCTCTAATTTATTAACTCACACAACAATCAAAATACATGCCTACTCTCACTATGACAAAAGAAATTCATGCCCTGTGTGAAGGAGAATGACCTCAAACAAAAAGTTAATTTTTTTACCAAATTAGAAAAGGGTGTGAGACAAGATGTACAAGAGGGTTTTGAATCTTCTGATCAAATTGATGAATCCTTCTTGACATTAAGCCTCCTTAACCATACTGAATGGAGTATCATATGAAACATATCATATGGCTGAGCAGGTCGATTCAGAATGAAATGTCTTTGAATTCGCATCACTCTTTTTTGCATTGTAAGATACCGTCGATATGAAATTCCTTTCAAAATCGTCTTAATTTCAGGTATCTTTTCCGGTGGAATGTCTACGGAGAATTTGCTCCAGTCAAGGACATCACTAAATGGTAATGAATAGTTATCAGAAATAGTCACGGGAACACATCCTAATTGAATTGCTGTCACCACTCTAGGACTTGCTACTTCATGGCCACTTGGGCACAAACAAAACTTGCTTTGACCCATCAATTCAAAGTAAAGATCAATGTTCTTTTTGTTCCTCTGAGTAAGGTACTCATGGACTTGAACCTCATCATCCTTTTCTTTCCAGTGTGTTAGTAAGACCTTCCTTATGTGACCATGAGCTCCGCCGGCAAAGAACGCAAGGATTGAACGCTTACTTGGGGGTTTAGTGTATTCCCGAGGCGGCCCGAGCTTGCCAACAGGAAGAAAGATTTCTGGTATCGAAACATCTCTTTGGGGTTGGAACCCCTCTGACATATTAGCATTGCAAAGGACCCTAACGAAGTACCTGAAGAGTTCAGGATTGGCTCTTGACACATCTGGGGCCTGTGATGAAAATTTTAAATACATGATTTTTAGTTTACATGTAGCATCCACTTCACTTTAAAATTTAGAATAGTTTGATAAGATGCATATGATTTTCACAGATCGTCCAACCGAGAGGATGTTATTGTGGTTAAAGATTTGGAATTTTTATTAGGAGGTTTTCCATTTAAAATTAATTTTTTTATTGTTTTAACTTACTAATGTTAAAAATAAATTTTAAAAATATTATTTTAATATATTTTTTAATAAAAAATACTTTAAAAAATAACAATAATCACATTCTTAAATACTTTTTTAATAATTCAAGGTCAAGATGTAATACTTTAAGTTATAATTATAAAACCGATCAATTTTAATTTGAGTTAGTCAAATATAATTTTACTTAGTTTAAACCAATTCATTCAATTTTAAAAATCCACCAAACACATATGCTTTAAGAAAACTGCAAGATGAAAAAATGAGGAGGAAGAGTGTCATACCCAATCGTGGCAAGAAACAGAGAAATGATCAGCTCCTTGAGTTCTATTCCAGTAAGTGTACTTATCAGCTACAACACGAACATAATCAGTGACCAAACGCTGGAGTTGATCACGAGCGAAGGTGATGCGAGGCCTGTAGACATAGTGGATGATATAGGCCACGCTTATGGGGAGAAAAAATGCATGTGCCTCATCAGGATGGCGAGCAATGAAGGGGCTTTTGCCACTCTCAATTTCATCAAGAAACTGCCCTTCAATGCTGTAGATGTCATTCACCGGTGCACCGTGGACGACGGGCAGCTCCCCTTCCTTGTAGACCCATACCTTGAATCTCTTCTCCATCTCTGTGTAACTCCTGAAGAAAACTTAGCCAGTAATTCTTAAATATTGGTTGTCACTCTCTCTAAACAATTAATTATAATTTAAAAAATTAATTACATATTACTATTTTTATCCTTAATTTTTCTTTCTTTTCTGTCTCGATGTAACCAAACGTTATAAATATATAATTTTAGTACGTATTAACTACGTTAACCTTTGTCTTCTGCCTGATTTATTTTTATATTTTTATCCTTAATCTTTCTATAGTTTCCTTCTCGATGTAACCAAGCGTTATAAATATATAATTTTAGGTCTCGATTTCTTGAACGTATTAGTTCCGTTAACTTCTTTTGTCTGCTGTCTGCTTACAAGCATTTAATCATGCTAGGCCAGCAGAAAAGCAACGTTGGTGTCGCGTTTTGATTTTTATACTAAATTCTTTTTTCTTTTAAATCAATCACATCGAAGCTTTCTTACAAAAATCTCTCAATTATTCTCGTACAATTACTTGGAGATAAGGCACAGATTATCATGGTTAAAAAACGTCCCAATCGCTGAGCAATTATTTGTATCCTAAAGCTCTTTAACTAAAAAATATTATCTAATAATTAATGAAAAACTCCTCGAGGCTAATTAACCAGAAAATTAGTTTGAAGCTTGCTTATTCTACTCCAAAGCACAAAGTTTTGCACCTTAATTATCCACCCCTACCGTTTGATTATATATAAATTGAAACAGATCTACTAGACATTATTATGGGCCATTACGGGATTAAGTTATGATTTCGTAACCTAGAGGGACCAAGTTGTTATATCACTAAGAATATAGGGACCGAGTCATTATTCACTTAAACCTTACCGACCCCGCCTGTACTATTATCGTCCACGATGAAATGAATCTGGCCTTCTAAACCCCACAGCATCGTCTCTGTCGTCCCACTATCTCCGTGTACTATACATTAATATGGGCCAAATCCTCGCATGGCCTGTGCATATGAAAATGTGTCGAGTGCACGTTTAATTTGTGGCATGGCCATAGAATCACGGTGGTCGTCTGATGTCATTACGAGCAACATGACAAGGTGTTGTCTACGTGGAACATATCTTTATCTCCTCTTTTACCTTCCCTTCCCTTATCCTCTCCCTCCCTCACAACCCGACCCGAATCCATTCGATTGCTAATGCAGGATTGCATTCCTTTAGCAAAAGTAGAATCGATTAAAGGGCATACATTATTATATAGTGTGCCACGTGACAAGGAATAATACTAGGTACTATGTATGGCGCGTTAGGAAATGTTGTTGAAATTACATTATTTTTTTATTGAGAAATATATTAAAATATTTTTTATTTTTAAAATTAATTTTCAATATTAATATATTAAAATAATCTAGAAATATATATACAAAATTTAATTTTTTTAAAAAATCATTTTTCGAAATCACGGTTTCGATTGCACTCAACTCAAGCGCACAATGCTCCAAGAAAGAGGTACACTGGTGACAGCACAAACCTTTTGCACTTTCCATAAATTGATTTCAGAACCAAGTTTAAAAATAATATAATCAGTGACTAAATTAAACTTAATACGGTGAACAAGGGGGAAAATATCATCACTGTTACCAATGAATTCTATAAAGTAGAAAAAGATGACGCTGTTCACTTTTGGATTCTACAAGTGGAAAAACTAATTTATGCAGCGGAGTAAATTTCAGAAATGGAAACAGCTTTGCTTATATCACTCAGCCTCGCCGACAATCTAGTAGGATCATTAGAATTTATTTATTTTTAATAAAATGACATTGTTTTGTTTTTTTTGTTTTTGTTTTTAAATACGAGATTAGATTAATCTGGGTTAATACGGATGTTATAACTGCAGTTTTTGAAGGTTTCAATTGGCTAATTGCTGCAAAGCAAGAATTTAGAGGTTACTTTCGAATTCGAAATCCTACCTTTGTCAATCAATTTATAGCTAATATCACGAAAAGAAAAGGGTATTGAAACTTAACTGGTGAAAAGCATATTGATTTCTGTACATGGATCCTCTAGGAATGTAACTTCCCTCCTTGTAAGATGAAGAGTTCTGTGACCGAATTGCTCTGTAAATAGCTGCTCTTGATCTAGCTAAACCTTCTTCAATTCTCTCAAAATCTGTCCTTTTCTGCCCCAACAGTAGAGTCACACGAACAAGAACAAGATTAATAACATGCAAAACAAATCAAGAAACAAAAATGCTTAAAAACAAGGCATATTTGATACAGTGAAAAATCATTAATTGGGCTCACCTTTTCATGTCTTGTAATTACTGGAATGCTGGGGCGGCTAGAAACGGCAGAACTGTTGCGTACTGGCAATGGAAGTGGTGACGGTTGAGGTGACGGTGAAGGTGATGTTGGAAGCCTTTCAGAGATCTTTTCCTGTCCATAACACCACCAAAGAACAAACCAAGAAATCAATCTATTTTGTCAAGAAAGGAGAAAAGGGAAAACTTTTCAGTGCTGTCTATGCATGTGTGTTTGCTAAGACCATCAAACAAGCTTTACTTTGTCCTTCCGAGCACTGATTTCTTCATCTCCAATAGTGGTTGTCGGTGAAGGAAAAGATTGAAACCTCTCAAAAGTATGGTTGGATTTTGATTCTTCGATACTATGATTAGGTGAGTGCAGAGAAGACGAAGGAGTAGAGATTCTGATAGTTTGGTTCCAGGGAGAGAAGCATAGGAAAAACAAGGTGGAAACAAGAGCTGATAGTAGTAGAAAACTTATGGTGGAGCTACAAGAAGTTGCCATCAGACTTCTCTTTCAGTGTTTTGCAGGGTTTAGTTTCTTTTACTGGTATGGACACAGGAGGAGATCAAGCATGGAGGTGTCTTCATAAGCTTCACCTGAAAAGGATGGAAGACTAGCAAGCAGTATATAAGAAGATGGAGCTAGCGTGGTCATCTTGAGTGTAGAAAATGTACTTTTCACGTGGGAGAGTAATTGTGAGGAATTTGATTGCAGCCATAAATAAAATATCTCTCTCTCTCTCTCTTTTAATAAAAGGAATAAAATAAAATATATTTTGGTCATTGTAGGATCATCATATACTTATTTGGTTTGAATTCTCAACAATACCCTTATGATTTCTTAAATATTCAAAATCTACCCTGATTATTAAATAATTACTAATGAAACGACCCAATGACTTGCCCATTTTTTAATTTAATTTTCTGAGATGTTGTCACTTGTGTAAAATGTGAGAGGAAAAGACGAGGGAAAATTAGGAGTTATTATTTTCAGTTTGTTTTGAATTTTATAAAAAAAAGTAACTAAATTGGAAAAAAAATTTTTGAAAAAAAAACTTGAAACCGAACCGAAACTGGGTCAAATTGACTGGTTTCGGTTCGGTTTTTTAGGAGAAAACCGGTTCAAATCGATTTGGCTTAATTTTTTTTTTGGTTTCGGTTCGGTTCAGTTTTTCGGTTTTTTGGTTATAAAACCAAAACCGAATCGAACTGGCTGGTTTTTTCAAAATTTTAATCGGTTTAATTAGTTTTTTTTTTGTTCGGTTTTTTTTAAAAAAAAATTTCGGTTTTCTTAATTTAATTGATTTTTTAATTTTTTTGTTCACTCCTAGAAAAAATTAAAAAAATGAGGTTTTCTGCCCTTTTCAACTAGTGGTAATAATATAAAAATTATAAATAACTCCAAGGGTAATAAGAAGAACATCAATGGAATAGAGATGTGAATTATGAATTCTACCTAAAATGCTTCAAACTCAAGGATGACCATAATTATGGGAGGACAATAACATGTCAATTTTTACATTCTTAAAAATAAATTAAAGAAATATAAAAAAATATTTTACGGTCTGGGGCATATTCTTCTTTTAAAAACAAGAAGCCGTTTTCATTAAAGAATTTAGAGTAGTAAAACACAAGTGCTCGAGCTTTATTTGCAAGGAGGAGATTTTCAAAAAAAAAAATCTCGACATATTATGTTATTTAGGTTGCTTATTTTATCCACTAATATTAAACCTAGCCCTTGACAAGTCAACCTCCCAATTAAATTAATCTATTAAAAAATCTAGTTAATTTTTTTAAATATTAACTTAATTTTATGTATGAGTAAAAAGATTGAGTTTCAAATTATATTTAATAACTATGATTTTATTGTATGTAAGATTTTATTAATATTTGTAACATATTAGATTAATATAAAAGGTGTATTTTTTAAAATTATTTACGAAAAAAAACTTGGTTTTACTTGATCTATAAACTATCACAACAATACTTAAATTAAAAAAAAAAACACTTTAGATAAAAAATTAAAAATATACATCCATGGTGACCGTATAACACCTATCGACAAAGACATGGCTGGTGCGAGCCACCAACCACTGGACGCCAGCCGGCAGGAAGAACCATCGGATAACTGACTGAGCCCAGTTACCAAATCTGTACTTCTATAAGCACTAGAAACGTGGCTTGAGCGAAACGTGGCATGTTGTGAGCGACTAGAAATGATGACGTGCCCATTTGTCCAGATCAGTCGATCAAACTGATCCCTCATGATCAGTAGTCAATAGAGTAATCCAATGCTGATCTCATCTTTCCCAGCATTTTCTTCATTTTTTTTAAAAATCTTTTTCTTCCATGTTTCTCTATAACATTTTTAAATAGAAAAAAAATACTAGAATATGTATAGGCAATAAGGATTGAACAAATTTTTACAATTGCATTAATTAACAAACTATATGATAGTTGATTGGTATTATCAAGTAGAATATAATATAAATGAATAATAAAACAAGATTTTTAAAGCAAAAATAGTCCAATTGATGAATGGATAGATATTAAGAAACGACAAGTGGAAAGGCCACGTACTTACTGACAAATGTTCATAGTGGGACACACTCATCCCCAACAACCCATCCTGCATAAATTGTAAAAAACAAAAAAAGCACAATAGAAGAAATAAATATTAATATATTATTTGATTTGATAATTTTATTAAAAAAGAGTTTCATTGAAAAATAATAAGGATTCAATAAATATTTTTAAACAATATGTAGATCGATAAAATATTAGAAATGATGTTTTAGAGTGTGTTTAGTAATATAATAGTTATTATATAGTTGTGATTTGAAAAAAAATATTTTATAAAAAATATTTTTAGTTATGATTAGTGTCGAAAAATATATGTTTGGTTAAAACTGTGGTAAAAATTAAAGTTGAACAAAAAATAATTTAATATGTTTCGTTAAAAATATTTTTAAAATTGAGGTTATAAAATAATTTTATATATTAATATTGATAGTTTTTAATTTAAATATTATAAATTTAACTATTGCTATTATATCGTGAAATAAAAAATATTTTATATTGTTTCATTAAACTATCTACAATTACATCATGTATGAAATACACAGATAAGACTATAGTTTTTCATTAATTTTTTAAAATCGCAACAACATCAGGTAAAGTATAAATAAGAACAAAATTGATATTGTGATCAAATTTTGCAAATGTTAGGTTATTAAGTGATCTCTGTCTAATTTATATAGTGTTATTAAATAATATTTAATAATAGTTTTTCAAATAAAATATAATTAAAAATAAAAAAAAATATTTTTTATTTTGCTGGGTTGGATTCAATTTAATATATTTTTAGCTTTGAATCGGACCAATCCAACCTAAATAGTGAAAAATGCATAAATGCTCAATTATTCATGAGTTTTCTTACCACAGGAAGCAACAATTTTTTTTTATATATATAAACTTGTGACATACTCATAATTAAATATCGGCTTTACTAGTAAAAAATTATTTTTGAAACATTATCAAATATTTATTTTGATGTAGATGCTTTAAACGTAAAAAAAAATATATATAAATAAATAGATTATAAATTCTGTTGTTATTATATTTTATTAATAATAAATATTTAATATGCATGTTAAACTAGAATTTATTAGATGAGCTTTGAATCGATTTAGGTAAAAATAATTTACGTAAACCTATACTAATAAATTATGATTCAGAGTTTTTGGTTAAGAATATTTCTAATCGATTTATGTCCTCCGTGGGTAAATTAAGCTCTTGGATGTCAAGTAATCAGGTGTGTGGCGGCAGCCTGACAATGAGCCTCCTTGACCACCCCTAGTGAAGTGGCATATATGAAGCATATTATATATGGCTGAGCATGTATGTTCAATTCGAAATGTCTTTTGCATACCTCTCCCTTGCATTACGAGACAGTAGGATACCTTTTGAATGGAAACCTTTTCAAAAATATTGTTTTTATTTCAAGCCGGGTCAAACATTTTAACTAAAATGATAGGTTTTTTTTTTTCCCTGACAAGATTGAGTTTAGAACAAATCACTTAAAAGCCAACGATGTTAAACGATTTTAAAAACTCAATTCAAACTAGTTTAATCAAATTTATTTTTTATCTAAATTAATTAGAAATTTGATTTATACAATTCAGCTCTAATTCTTAGATTTTTTAAAATTAATTTACTAAATTAAACTAGGCTACTTTTATTAAATATATCTAAAACAAGAATAATATGGTAACAAAAATAACTAGAAGAGAAGGGAATGATGGTGGAAGCCCTAATGAATTGGAACTTAGGTTGTGTTTATTTTTTAAAAAATAGTTTTTAAAAAATTATTTTTAAAATTTTTTTATGTTTATTTGTTATTAGAAAAATTGATAAATAAAAAATATTTTTTAATAAAAAAAATTTAACTTAGTTTGCAGGACAGTGTTTTTATGAAAAATTCAGGCAAAAAATACTTTTTGAAAATTGTACAAAATTTAGAAATATCATATTATTTGATTATTATATTAAATTTGATCCTTAAATTTTTTATTGCTATATATATATTATTTTAAATATTTATTTTTCAATTTCATCTCTAAAAATTTGATTTTTATGTTAACTTTGATCCTAATTTTTATAATTGTTATTTGATTTTTTCTTATTATTTTTTTATTGAAATTTTTTATCTATCAAATTTCATCCTTATTCTTTTGATTGTTACTTATTTTAGTTGAAATAATTTATGAAATGTTAATTATTATTATTTTAATTTCTTCATCTTTTATTTTTTTAAATTGATCTCTATTATTTTGATTATTATTTATTTTATTTGTGATAATTTATAAAATTATATATTGTTTTAATTTCAATCTTATTTAGCCTTTTAATTTGTAATATTTGTTCCTCATTATTTTAATAAACTTGAAAAAAATAAAATATTAACAAGTTATTTTCAGGCTTATTTTTTATGACATAATCAAACATTGAAATTTATTTTTCAATTTATTTTCCATTACACCATGAAATATCAGAAAATAATTCACTTTCTAAGAATTTATTTTCTCAAAATTTACTTAAAAAAAACTATTTTCCAGTGGTCTTAGTAAACATTTGGCTCTACTACAACTACTGCTTTTTTTTTTCAAACTTAGTGATATAATATTTGGTTATAAGTTGTGGTTGTATTTTTATGCGTGAGACCCACAAAAAATAAGGTAAAACCGTAGGTTTAGCTGAAGCAATTTTTTCATGCTTTTTCCCGCTGCTGCTTTGCATAATGGAGAGTAAACTCTCCACTGTTCACTCAATTGAGTGAACAGTTGAGAGTGAAACCCCACTATTCACTCAATTAAATGAACAGTAGAGTTATTTTTTATTGTTTCATTATACAATCAAATATCAAAAAATAATTTACTTTTTAAAAATTTATTTTCTTATAATTTACTTAAAAAAAAACTACTTTCCAGTAAATAATTAGAGTTTTAGACTTACAATAGTCTAAATAAATATATTTATGATGATCTAAAAGATAAATAATCTTTAAAAATTATACATAAATCTAGAAGATATCAAGAAAAACTTAAAGAAAGAAGACTTCAAAAAAACTCACTAGTTTAGAGACAATCTGAGATGTACGAAGGGGTTAAAATCTTTAGAAATCATATTATCGATATGGCACCTTGAC